GCTGTTTTAATTTCATTTAGGCTATTAATTACCTTACTGTGAATGTTAATTACCTAGAATTTTTTCCTCTCGTTAGTGTTAAATGTCTTGTTTTTTGCTAATTGCTTGGGTGTTTGTATTGTGTGCTAATTACTTGACTGCTTGTGTTAATGACCTTGACTGCTTGCGCCAATTACTCGTGTTAATTACTAATTATGTTAATTACTGCTTGTGTTAATTACTCTTGTGTTAATTACTGCTTGTGTTAATTACTCTTCTCGTTAACAGTGATTACTTTGTAATCGTGGAACTGACACTGATTACTTTCCAGTTGATCACTAGGAGAGTTGTTGGTAATTACCTCGCCACTGTAGCTGATTACTTTGTCATCGCCGCCGATTACTTTGAAGACATTGACATTATGGCCGATTACTGTGTCACTGTAGCTCCATATCCTTCGACTTCAACTATTCAGTGTGGAGAGCTGCAGCTAGGGGCAGCAAATAGTTATAATTATAACCATAATTTTTAAAGGGGTGGAGGGGTAAGCCAGCGGAAGGTCTTGGTCAGATGACCAAAACCTCCAACTGCGGGTCATATGACTGAGACCCGCTTCAGGAAACACTTGTCCTGTTTCCTGGCGTTCCTAATCTTTTCACTTGAATTTCAAGTGAACTAAGGAGAACTTCTGTCTTCCAACGTTTTCGTTAATAACTTGAGAATGCCTTAGCCGATCGGCTACAAATTTTCACAGCAGGTGAAACCTCCACACAAGGTTGGCACTGTTAATGAGGTATTTAGCCACTTGTTAATTATATTTTTAAAGTTATTATATTTTCCATTAAATATCTTGAGAAAGCCTCTGCTGAACGATTTTAAATTAATATTTAATGAATCTTAGGAAGAAAATGATACCTTTTATAGTTTAATTTATGTAGATGTAAATTTGTAATGTTACTAACATGTTAGATAATAGGACACATGTGCAGCTAATGCGGCGTTTTGACTGTGGCAACGTTTCGCTCTCCAGGAGCTGCTTGACAAAGCTCCTGGAGAGTGAAACGTTGCCACAAAAATGCCACATTAGTTGCACTTGGTCTTTTACCTAATATATTGTCGGTAATTCTACCATTATTACGATTTTACTAATATGGTTAATAAAACTTGGTTATTGTATTCGGTGCAATAACTGGAGAATGACTCTTCTGACTGGCTTCAAACTTTTAGTAGTAGTGAGTGTTTCTCAAATAAAACTTCACATTGAATATGAGTTATGCAAATTTTAATTAACCAATTTTATTAAACAAATTCTTTTCGGTGCACAACTACAGGATGGCTCTTCTGATAGATTTCAAACCTTGAATTCGAGTATTTCTCGCTTAGATACAAATGAATTGTTTTTGGGCTGTTTAGGAGTTAATGCGCCCATTTTATTGAAGAAATTTGGAAAGTTGAATTACTGGTCTTCGTGTGACAATTTGTGAATGCCTCAGCCAATCGGCATCAAACCTTCAACACAATGCATCTTCTAAGTGTTGGTGCTTTGCAGAATATAGAGAAAGTTTTTTTTTTTCTGATCGGCTTTAAACTTTCGAAGCTGTTTTATCTTATTGGGAAGTTCGAATCTACATTGGGCTGTGTAGATACCACTTTGCCATTTTTAATAGGCACTGGGGTATTAATTTCACTGCGATAACCGTGGCTCAGTTGTCAACGCGCTCGCCTTACACAGTGTCGGTGGTTAAATCCCCGGCATGAGTGGAAGCATTGGTCGTGTTTTCTTACACATGCTGTCGGCTGCTGGTCGACTGGTGTGGAGTCTCATCCTGGGGGACAAGACTGACGCACCCCGTTGGAAACAAGACAGTCCTCAATGACGCACTGACTTGAGTTATCCTGGGTGCGTATCCTTTCCCGGGTTAAAAATCCCGATATTTAATTGAATAATATATGTGGTCTCATTTATTTTGCATCACTGAGGTAGAGGGGGCTAGGTTTGCGGGATATGGGGATACCCTTCTCGGATCGCATAATAACCATAGTGATGTAGTGGAGGCAGGATCCATACATAGTTTCAAGAAGAAGCATAATAAAGCTCATGGAGTAGGGAGAGAGGGCCTAGTAGCGACCAGTGAAGAGGCAGGGCCAGGAGCTATGAATCGACCCCTGTAACCACAATTAGGTGAACAATTAGGTGAGTACATTTAGTTCCTTTAGTGTGGGTTATGGAGAGTGTGAGGGGTCATGGCCAGATGAAAGGATGTAGTGGAAAGCAACTCAGTGCATGAATTCGAGAGTTGTTGCTGGGGTCACCGCCCCCGCGGCCTGGTCCCAGACCATCCCTTCTGGTTGTTGGGCTAATCGATCAAGCTGTTAATGCCCGCGGCCCGCAGTCCAACATATGCACCACGATCTGGCTAACCAGAATCTCATATCAAGACTCGCGAAATCGTAAAAACACCATAAATTACAGAGCGAGTGGGATTCGAACCCATGGTAAGCGAGCTGGCCTTACCTAGAGTTTACCCAGACTCGCTTGCCATGGGATCAAGATCCACCCGCTCTGTGGTATATCTCAGATTTTAAAAGTAGGTATCAGCAGATAGAGCTCAACCCTCCCTCCCCTCGTTTACAAATAGGCAAGTATGCATATACACAGAACTAAAAGAGGTCGGATAAAAAAAATGGCCACAATACTTAGAAAATAGGATGAGCAAGCCAGAGTAACAAGAAAAATATTAAAGTGAATCGGATTTATTTAACAATAGAAATGGATACTATAATGGGTGAAGTGTCGTAACACAGTAACACTACTGACGGAAGTATCGTGATGGAAGTGTATTTAGTGGAGTCCTACAAGGATCAGTGTTAATGGGAGAGTATAGCTAGTGGAGTCCTACAAGGGTCAGTGTTAATGGGAGAGTATAGCTAGTGGAGTCCTACAAGGGTCAGTGTTAATGGGAGAGTATAGCTAGTGAGTCCTACAAGGGTCATTGTTAATGGGAGAGTATAGCTAGTGGAGTCCTACAAGGGTCAGTGTTAATGGGAGAGTATAGCTAGTGAGTCCTACAAGGGTCATTGTTAATGGGAGAGTATAGCTAGTGGAGTCCTACAAGGGTCAGTGTTAATGGGAGAGTATAGCTAGTGAGTCCTACACGGGTCATTGTTAATGGGAGAGTATAGCTAGTGAGTCCTACACGGGTCAGTGTTAATGGGAGAGTATAGCTAGTGGAGTCCTACAAGGGTCAGTGTTAATGGGAGAGTATAGCTAGAGAAGTCGTACAAGGGTCAGTGTAGGGACCTATATTGTTCTATATTATAAATAGTTTAATAAAGGAAAGTGACCCTACATATTCGTGTTTGATGATGGCAAAACACTGACAAGAAAAACTGAATAAGATTACAGAGTCCTGAAAAAAAACTAAACTTCAAGAATGGTTGAATAGTTACCAGAGTTTTACCTAAGCTAAAGGAAAATTCTGAAACTGGGAAAGGAAAAGATGAGTGACGGGGGGGGGGGGGGGGATGAGCTTGCGGAAACTGTAGAAAATGAACTAGTTGTAAACATTACTCCCAATGTCATCGTGAAGTATACACAGGCTGGGAACTATCAGCAGTTCAGATTAAACTTGCTAACACAGAAAGGGAATTTAGGAGTCTAAACAAGGATTCCATTGGAAATAAGTAATTTACACTATGATAATTGTACTTACGTGGATCTGTGCTTAATTGAAGTTACAAACTTAGGAATTCAAGACAAACTTTACATGTATGTAAGTTTATTTAGGTACAGGTACACGTAAATACAGTTACATAAATTATCGTACATGGTAACGTGTATGTAAATTACTTAGCATAACCCCAAAAAAGTCAAAGTGACTTAATATACAAAGTTGGAATGGATCCCTGTCTCGATAATAAAAAAAAAGAGGTGAAGTTTGAGAAAGTCATAAGTAGTGAATCAAGACTTGTACTGGGACGGGAGCGGAGCTGTGAAGAAAAAATCCAGGTCTTTCAATACTGGAAGATCATAGAATAAGAGGAGATATGATCATGACATAAAAATATAATCTGCAGGTCTTTCAGTACTGGAAGATCATAGAATAAGAGGAGATATGATCATGGCATAAAAATATAATCTGCAGGTCTTTCAGTACTGGAAGACCATGGAATAAGAGGAGATATGATCATGGCATAAAAATATAATCTGCAGGTCTTTCAGTACTGGAAGATCATAGAGTAAGAGGAGATATGATCATGGCATAAAAATATAATCTGCAGGTCTTTCAGTACTGGAAGATCATAGAGTAAGAGGAGATATGATCATGGCATAAAAATATAATCTGCAGGTCTTTCAGTACTGGAAGATCATAGAGTAAGAGGAGATATGATCATGGCATAAAAATATAATCTGCAGGTCTTTCAGTACTGGAAGATCATAGAGTAAGAGGAGATATGATCATAACATAAAAATATAATATGCCTTTTTTTTTTTTTAACCAGAGATATAACAAGAGCAAATAAAAGTGTGCCCAAATAAGGTACACGAATATCAGAAAAAAATCTTCAAAACGAAAGCGATAAAGAAGTTTAGTAAATTGAACAGTGATACTGGAAGCTGTCTTCTTACGTGTAAATAATTTCATTCAGACACAACATGAACAGCGAGTGGCAGCAACAGCCAGGTTAACCACAAACCACTCAGAATTACCAGCTGGGGAGAGTTTTTTCACCCGACTGAAGCAAAGATATTCTCCTGTTGTTTTTCTTCTATTTACTATATTCAGTGTATCAGTGAATGGTTAGAACAGTTCGCCACAACACGAAGTTTCGCCCACACGAAGTTTTCCCACCATTACGTATAACTATCATATTTCTCGTTCCTTTCAAGTTTCAAATCAGGAGACGAAACTAATGATTTTTTTTTGTTTTGGTATGGATTTCTATTGGAAGCAACTGCCATTGCTTTCATTTCTGTTTCGGAGATCGTAATGACACAGGATGGTGGTAATAAGACGCACTTGCTGGGTAAGGAAGATTGAAGGTACTATACACGGCGGGGAGAGCCTGGAGAAGCGTGTCAGGCTGGGAACGACTAGGACACGCACACCCGACCACCACGGCGACCAAGCTAGGACTGCTGGGTGGTCAGGTGCCAGGGTGGTGGGGGCGGCCTGTGGGCGGGGTTTAGCACCCACTCCCATCCTTTCCCCACCTCCTATTTCTTCTCCATCTACTCTTCCATCTTCATCACCTTTCTTTCACTCCTGCTTCAACTACATCTTCTCCCTTTCTTCTTTTGCCTATCTTCATCCCTCCCTCTCTACCTCATCTCATTTATTCTTTCACATCTGTTGGTCTTTGCTAATAACTATTATATAACATGTAAACTACATTACCTGTATACTGCAGAAAAATATATTTATTAATATCTTCCTTATTCTTCCTCGTCCTCATTAATCACCACTACTACCACCACTACTGCTACCACCACCACCACCACCACTACTACCACCACCACTACTACCACCACCACTACTACCACCACCACTACTACTACCACCACCACCACTACTACCACCACCACCACTGTCATCAAATCTTTCAAAATTAGACACGTTACATGTGAGGGAAAAGTTCAATAGATAGGAGTATTATTATTATTATTATAATCAAGGGGGAAGCGCTAAACCTGGAGGATTATACAGCGCCTGTGGGGGGGGATGTGGAAGGCATTCAGGCTTAATTCGGGGAACTGGAGCACAGATCCAATTCCCTAAATCAAGAGCCCCTCACCAACATCAAGGAACCTTCCTTGAGGGGAATAGATAGGAGTAGCGAGGGAGTATACAGTAACAATAGTTTCATTGCCGGCTGCTTGTTAAGGTAGGGTCAGTCTAGCTCCCACTATCCCTTCCCCTCCCCCCCCCACCGAAAGGTGACGTGTGGGGCTCCGGTCCAAACAGTAATCACTAGACTCACAGCTCCCAGCACTACTGAAAGTACATGCCTGCCTTGTATTCTAGTGGATTTATTGGTTGAAAGCTTCACTTTTGACCAATAATAAACTTAGTCCTTTCAGTCTTGCTCTAAGTTGACTGTTGTAATAGTCACCACATCTTTTAGGTATTGTACTTATCATGGAGAGTGATTTCTTAAGCAGTGGGTAACCTGTCTATCTTTCCAGCTTGGATGACAGAGAGGGTCACCTGCCAATCAACGAGTAGAACTGATGGAGATGGACTAACGTCCTGAGACTTTCCCTTTTTGGATTTAATTACCTGTGCACCTGTATGAAATTGCCGGACGTAACCCCTCATCATTGCAGCGGTAAAGAACCTGCTTTCCTGTCATCGGGATAGAATACTCACAGCTATACTGTGAAGAACGAACCGGTGGGTTGTAACCAACACCTGCGACCCCCCCCCCATCATCAGCAACGGCTACGATTTCAATGACACGCAGTGTCGCCAACACCAGACACCCAAGTTTTATATTAGCGTTGAATTCAGTTATCATTTATATTTTTCATTTTCCATTTTCTTTAATGTAGGATTAATACTTCATATTTAAGTGTTTTATATTTTATATTTTCTATATAATAGTGTTTATGTTTGTCTGTTATTATTTCTTTTTCTATTCATTAATTTTCCTGAGGAGGAGCCAGCCTTGGTAATACTGTCTGAAGTTGTTACAGGGCTGAGTAAACCTTCACAAGTGGCGACCTTGCCAGGATCAACTCTACTGAATCAAGATTCAATTCCATCTCGAATCTACCATTGGAACTTCAACGCCGCATACCACAGACGGTTACCACCAGCCATGAGTAATCATTCTCTATGATAGGACTACAGTACAGGTATTTAAAAGATTTGGTGATTGTTATAGTCTCAATTTATTGTAAGTCAAGTCAGGCAGGATATATTTAATTCTGCCACCTTTTTGTTCGAGCTTGAAACACTTTGGAGGATTAGACTCTAGGGACCCGAGATTTTCCAGTGACAATTTGTTTCATTGAGCTCTTTATTTTATCAAGGGAACTGTCGTTGGACACTCTTGATTTGTTGGTGAGAAGATTGGATGGTCAAGTGACCCCATTCTACTTACTGTTTGCTTGGAGCCAGCATAGAACCCTTCGTTTTAATTAATACATATTGTTTAATTGAAGTAGGGATCGAGCCCTCTGATTTATTTACAGTTTGAGCAGAGCAGGAATTGAACCCTCCATTTTCGTTAATACCCATTTCATTTTCCCCTGGTAGTTTAAGTTATTCTTGCAAATATGGAGGAATACCAGTTTTGGATGAACGCTGGAAGTAAGTTAGGAATAACAGGGAAAAATTTAGAATCTTTCATTAGTGCTAAGATCCAGGAAAGACTGGAAAGAGAGAATTGAGAAGAAAGATGGTTAGAAAGGGAAAGAGAAGAAGAAAAGGAGAGAGAGAGAGAGAATTGAAAGAGAAGAGAAAAAGGAGAGAGAGAATTGAGAGAGAAATCCAAGAAAGAGTTAGAAAGAGAGAGAGAGAGAAGACAAAAAGGAGCGTGATAGACTTGATCGTGAGGAGAGAGCTAGAGTACGTGAAGAACAAGTTAAATTAAGAGAACTTGAGGAAAGAGTAAAGGATAGAGAACGTGAGGAACAAGCTAAAATATGTGAGAAACAAGCTAAGATACATGAGGAACAGGTTAAATTAAGAGAACTTGAGGAAAGAGCAAAGGATAGAGAAGTTGAGGAAAAAGCTAGAGAACATGAGTTAATAGAGAGAGAGAAAAGGATCGCGAGCTCGAAAAATCTCTCCTTGAATTAGAGAATAAAAAGTTAACTTTTACACAACAATTAGAGGAAGGAGTAATGGAACAACGTGCAGTCAGTGCACATATTCCAACACCTAATTTACCTCCCTTCACAGAGAGGGAAGACATAACTTCATACATTATCAGGTTTGAAAATACCACTACCCTCTGTGAATGGCCTGCTGACACCTGGGCTACCAGGTTAGGAATGTTATTTTCTGGTACAGCCTTGAATATCTATGTAACTTTGTCGCAGGATATATGTAATTATAACCTACTGAAGAAGGCAATCCTTAAAGCATATCAAAAACCACTAATTCTTACAGGAAAGATTTCAGGTATGCCACCTTACAGCCTGGCCAGAACTTTCAGCAGTTACAGGTAACACTCTTTCGTTTGTTCGAGTTTTGGATAGAGAGTTCAGGAATTGATCGCAGTTATGAATCTCTTAGAGACTTCATGGTTGCTGACCAGTTCCTGACAGCTCTTCCCCATCAGATACGAACATTCATCAGAGAACGTAACCTGATTAAAGCTGAGGAAGTTGCTGAGGCTGCTGACCTGTATGCTGAGGCTCACAATTCCTATAAAGACCTAAAGGGATCGAACCCTAAGGGCAAGGGTTCATCGGACCTTAAGAAATCAAAGCCTCTAGTGGAAAGTAAAATGACTTCTTTTATTCCTGTTTGTCATTTGTGTGGTGTTAAGGGACATAAACGTCCAGATTGTCCTTCTAAGAAGGTCCAAAAAGTTGGAAGATGTTTTAAAGACTGTAATGACCAAGCACCCTTCTGTTCAGGAACAGTTAATGGACTGAATGTATCTACCATTTTACGAGACACTGGATGCACATGTATAGTCATTTCTGATAAGCTGTTCCCTAACCTTAAAGAAACTCATTCCTCTGCTATATTTTCAGACTACTTTGGCCGTACGGACACTTTTCCTACCATCCGTTGTTACATTAGGTCTAAATGGTTCACAGGTTGGTCTGAAGCCGTACTAGCTCCCATCACTTCTTGCTCCGTACTAATAGGTAATGTAAAAGGTGCCATTCTTCCTTCTGAGGTTGACCTTTCATCACCAAAGGTGGACATAAGCTTTTCAGATCCTCTTCCTGTAGAGTCAGAGAAGCCCCTCGAAAGTTCAGATGAGACAATGTCTCGCGAGACTCATGTGGGATTAAAAACCAGTGATGCTACTCTCGAAAGCGAGGTAGTAGGATCACCGGTTCACTTGTTAGATGAAAGTGAAGATGTCACCTCCGATACCATAAATGTCTTGACTAGGGCTCGAGCCCAGGATTCTCCTACTGTCCATCCTTTGATTTTCCCTGACTTTAAGCCTTTAGACATATCGAAGGACTCCTTTGTCAATTTACAACGTAATTGCCCTTCTCTTCAGAATTGCCATAATGCCGCTAAACAAATCAAGTTATCCAAAGGAAAAACTTTTCATATAAATTTGAATATATAAAAGGTATCTTGTACAAGTCAGTATTCAAATTAAATTCAGATGAGACAGAGTATTCCATCTTAGTTGTTCCAAGTCAATGCAGAGAGACTGTTCTTAAAATGGCTCATGACCTGCCAGTGGCCGGACATTTCTCGCATCGTAAAACCTTAAATAAAATTAGGGAAACCTATTTTTGGCCGAAAATGTCCTCAGATGTCACTACCTATTGTAGATCGTGTAAAGTTTGCCAACTGTCATCCTCCCGAGGTACCAGGTGAGTACCTATGGTCAAAATGCCAGTCTTTACGGTACCTTTTGAAAGAGTAGCTATTGACATCGTTGGTCCTTTATCTCCACTTTCATCTGGGGACATAGATATATATTAACATTAGTTGATTATGCTTCGAGCTTCCCTGAAGCCGTTCCCTTAAAAACCATAACTACTACAGAGGTGATGATAAATTAGACACATGTGCAACTCTTGGGTATCTTTATTGAGGAAACGTTTCGCCACACAGTGGCTTCATCAGTCCATACGTAGGAGAAACTTGAAGAACAGGAGAAGAATGAGGTAATCAGTCCCTCAACCTTGAGTCGATGTGTTCAGTCCATCAATCTTGAATAGAATATTCTATTCAAGATTGATGGACTGAACACATCGACTCAAGGTTGAGGGACTGATTACCTCATTCTTCTCCTGTTCTTCAAGTTTCTCCTACGTATGGACTGATGAAGCCACTGTGTGGCGAAACGTTTCCTCAATAAAGATACCCAAGAGTTGCACATGTGTCTAATTTATCAACATGTCGGTTCTCTGAACCATTCATCTACAAATCTACTACAGAGGTGGCTGAAGCCCTTTTGTCCATCTTCTCCAGAGTG